GGCCGTGGCCTCGAACATGTGGCTTTGTGCCTGCCCGTCGCTTCGGCGAGGCGCGCCTGCCGAGAAACGACTCACGTGACCTGGCCCATGACAATTGTGGAGCTCATTCAGCTTAGCCATCGCCCTGCCCTCGAAAGAGGGGGGAGGAAGAGAAGGGGGGATCGCTGGCGCTCGTGAACACGCTGTTGGCGTCGCCCGCCGTCCCCGCAAGGCCCATACGGGCCCACTGCTCCCCGATGCGGTCACCAAAGGCCTGGACCTTTCGTTCTCGTGAGGTTGTGGGTCGGAGCGGGCTTGCACGGCACCGCGTGCTGGAAGCGGAGGGCCCGCTGAGATAGGATATCCAGGTCGAGGGAAGCCTGGACTCCAAGGCGTTGCTTGGTGGGCAGGTCGCGCAGCAGCGCGAAGTCGGCGACCGGGTGGCGGCCCGTTTGGATGGCAAAGGCGCGTGCAGTCGATGCGCGTGCTGCCTGACCCCGCAGGGCGACGCCCCCCCCCCCCCCCGCCTGAGTTGTCGCTATAGGCACGTGGGAACCCGCCGGGCGCTCCTCCAGAAATCCTGCGCCGTCGTCGATCGATCCAGTCTGCAGCGCTTGGGTGAGAAATTCGGGGTCGCAGACGTCGAGGTTGGCATGCGTGCAGATGGAAGGGGCGCGGCCGACCCTGGCGGCCGCGTCCCGTACCTGCCAAAAAAAGGCGGGCATTGTCGGCGTTGGCCCCGGCGCACACCCGCGTGGAGTGCCTCGGCCCTGGGGCCGAGAGACTGGCAAGAAGACCTCGATCCAGCGCGTAGATCGGCAGAGAAGTTCAACCGAGGAGTCGCGCTGGCTGGCGTGCACAATCGCCGTCTGTGCCACGATGCCGACCCCGTCTTGCTTCGTACACGAAGAGGGGAGAGCGAGAAAGAGAGAGAGAGAGAGACTGCGCGGTGGTCTGTCCCCCGCACCGCTCGCCACGTTCCGTGAAGTTCGCGGGGGAGCGGGCGGGGGTCGAGTACGTAAGTCCCCTGTCGCTGTGCCAGTGGAGGTGTTTTAGGACAGGCGAGTTGGCGTGGAGGCTCGCGGCGTTGAGGCTCACCGGGTTGATGCCGTGTGGGCCGTCGCCAGCGGTGCTGCTGGGGAAGGCCCTACTACAACGGTGGTCTGCGCGCGGCGATGACAACGGCCTTGTAAGCCGTGACAAAGCAAAACCGAAGTGTAGCTGGTCGCGCGCCGGGGAAACAGCAGACGGCAAGAGGAAGAGCGAGGCGAGGTGAGGGAGGAGCCGCCCCGCCCCCCCCCCTCCGACGATCCGCGACACCACGGCGGCCCGCGGCGGTGACACGGCTGTGCGTCCCCTTCCCCGCGGCGGCCATCGCGCGTTTGCACGGCTGCGCAGCGTTGGCAGCCGCAGTCGGCTGGGCCGGCTTTGCGGCCACGCATATCGGCATTTTCGACACGTGGAGGCCGGTGTCAGACAGACACACAGACACACAAACAGGTGCGGTTGTATTTTTTCTTCTGGGGACAATTTGTGCTACAAGGTGCCACGCGTCGACGCGACCGTGGCGCCTACCGATCGGCGCGCAAAATGGCAGGAGCCTAAAACATGTGGATCCTCACTCAAGACATCCCGAGAAAGAGAAAGAGAAAGAGAAAGAGAGAGAAAACAACAAAGAATACGGGGGGAGGGAAGATAGAAGAGGGAGGCTTGAACATAGACTACGGCAGTGAGAGACATCAACCGCACAATTCCCTTCACCTTCCCGCACAAGCACACACGGGTGCTGTTGCATGTTCCTTGTGGGGGCAGTTTCTGCTACAAGGTGCCGCGCGTCGACGCGACCGTGGCGCCTACCAATCCGCGCACACAGGCAGGAGCCTAAGACAGATGAGGCTCCTGACTCAAGACGCCCCAAACTTAAAAAGCGGGCGACCCGAACCCAGAGGTTCACCGGGACAGGCGGGACAGGGCACAAAAAACATAACAGCGGCATGGCAGGGCTGAAGGCTGGCGTCAGCCAGAAGCTAAAGAGGCTATTGCATCGCGAGCATGGGGCAGCAAAGCCTGAACCATGGCCGTACACAGAGACGGAGGATCTGAGGCTGCAGTGGCTGCCCATTTTCTGCCCGGCGAGGTGGCCCCTTCTAAAACGAAATGCCGTCGGCCTGTTCGACTACGCACAGCAAAGGAATCTTTACAGCTGCAACCGAACATGTCAGTGTCCGCGGGAGCAAAATGAGAAGAAAAAACGTTTGGTTCGTGTTTCGCCAACATCGGCCAAAATTGCATTGGTCAAAGATCTGGGCGTGCCCGCCATGCCGGCGGATGAGTGTCGAGAGTTCATGGGCATGCCAGCTCTGCGAATTAACCGGATGCTCCTACGTATATAGTCAGGGCCGCAGAGCGACATGACACACGAAACAAATGCAAAGCATATCGACATATTGCGTTGCCTCGCTCGGGTCTCTCGCGCCGGCGCGCTGCGAGCAGGGGCTCGGGCAGCCCCCGCGGCCCCTGAACGGAGCGGATGGGGCCGCCCCGCCCGCGATCCGCGATCGGCAGCGCCGCCCCGCGCGTCGCAAAGGGGGGCCCACCGCCGCCCCCGGCGCCTGGCCGCGCGAGACAGAGGCGCCCAGGCGGCCCAGCACCCACGCATCCCCCAGGTCCTCCGCGGGCCCGCGGGAGCAGTCGCGCGCGCGAGCTGGGCCACCGCCCGCGCCACTCCTCCAGTGCCTGAATGGAGATCGAGGACGCAGCGGCCTTCGGTGCGCCCCGGCCAAGCAGCGCCGCGCCGCGAGGCGAGCCCGGGAGTACGTCGTCCCCGAGCGCTGCCTCGCAGGCCGCGAGCAGCTGCCGCGGGGGGCAGGGGCGGCAGCTCCCACGCGTCGCCCAGCCCGGCACCTCCCTTGCGCCCCTGGGCGCCCTTCGCGCCCGCCCACTGGCCCCGGCGCTGCGCCTCGAACGCCGCGCGGCATCGCCGAACTATACCGATCGACGGACCCCAAGTGTTTCGCCTGGCCATTGCGGCACGATGGTCCTTGCGGATCTCAGCAGCTCGGCCGGCGCCGCCGTGAACTCGACCAGGCACTGCGGGTCGCGCGAAGGCCCCGACGGCCCTCCCCCTTCGCCCCGCGGGCCAACGCCCTCAAGATCGGGCCAAGGAGCTGCGGGCGAGAAGAACCCAAGGACTGTACGTATACGCTGACGTCGCTGAGATTTGCCATGCCCCGCTCTGCCTGCTGCTAGGAAACGACAGAGAATATCCAAAATTGTCCCAGTGCGGCCCTACCTAGGAGTTGGAGCCTCTAGGAAAGCAACATTAGTAGGAGCGGTAAACGCCGTCCTCCTCCTTCTCCTCCTCGTCGTAGTTGTAGCAGTAACGGTAGCGGTAGTGGCAGTGGTAGTAGTAGTAGTAGTAGTAGTAGTAGTAGTAGTAGTAGTAGTAGTAGTAGCAGTAGTCGTAGTCGTAGTCGCAGTCGTAGGAGTAGGAGTAGGAGTAGGAGTAGGAGTAGTAGTAGTAGGAGTAGTAGTAGTAGTAGTAGTAGTAGTAGTAGTAGTAGTAGTAGTAGTAGTAGTAGTAGTAGTAGTAGTAGTAGTAGTAGTAGTAGTAGTAGTAGTAGTAGTAGTAGTAGTAGTAGTAGTAGTAGTAGTAGTAGTAGTAGTAGTAGTAGCAGTAGTAGTAGTAGTAGTAGTAGTAGTAGTAGTAGTAGTAGTGTAGTAGTAGTAGTAGTAGTAGTAGTAGTAGTAGTAGTAGTAGTAGTAGTAGTAGTAGTAGTAGTAGTAGTAGTAGTAGTAGTAGTAGTAGTAGTAGTAGGAGTAGTAGTAGTAGTAGTAGTAGTAGTAGTAGTAGTAGTAGTAGTAGTAGTAGTAGTAGTAGTAGTAGTAGTAGTAGTAGTAGTAGTAGTAGTAGTAGTAGTAGTAGTAGTAGTAGTAGTAGTAGTAGTAGTAGTAGTAGTAGTAGTAGTAGCGCCAGAACCGCCGACGCCACGCCGTAAGTGAAGCAGCAGCAGAAGCAGGCAGCAAGTCGCCGAGACAGCAGCAAAAGCAAGCAGGCACGGAGATGAGGGCGGGGCACTGGGGAGTTTTTTACATCTAAATTTATATCTACACCTACATATACACCGACACCTACATCTACATCTAGACCTACATCTACATCTACACCTACAGCTACAGCTACATCTACACCTGCATATACATCTACATCTACATCAACAGCGAGACTCACATCTACATCTACATCTACACCTACATCTGCACCTACATATACATATGCATCTACATCTACACCTACATCCACATCTACACCTACACCTACATCTACATCTACATCTACATATACAAACTCGCATTGGTGTTGCTGTTGCTTTGCATTGCCTTTGCTTTTGCTATTGCCTTTGCTTGTGCCTTTGCCTTTGCTTTTGCTTTTGCTGTTGCTGTTGCGTTGCTTTTGTTGTTGATGTTGCTTGGTATTGCTTTGCTATGCTATGCTATGCTATGCTATGATTTTGCTTTGCCTTCGCTTTTGCCTTCACTTTTGCCTTTGCTTTTGCTTTTGCTTGGCACCCAAGGGGCGCAACTGGGGGAACCGCGCGTTTGCTTTTACCTTTGCTATTGCTTTTGCTTGGCTCCCAGGGGACTGGGGGAACCGCCCGGGGCGGCTTGCACTGCCCGGCCCCTGTAAGCCAAGCGAGTAAGAACCCTTCTAGGCAGAGCCTAGTAGGTAGGGAAAAAGGGAGAGCCCCCGCAGCGGGCGCAATGTCTCCACCGCGCCCGAGGCCCACCAACTCGTTCGGCCTCGGGTAGCTGCTGGGGGAGTTCCGGAGAAACGCTGCCATCTGAAGAAAGCCGCGTCCTACCCGCCGCCAGGCTTCCCCTGGCCACTATTGTGGCCTTGGCCGCCTTGGCCTTTTAAGGCCAATGGCCAGCTTCGCCAGCTGCGACCAGGCGCCCGGCGCCGCCAGCCCTTCGGCAACGGGCGGCCCCATGGGGAGCTGGCGGCTGCCAGCCCAGAAGAACTATTTCGCCAGGCACATCGAGCCAGCGAGGACCTGCGCGTCCTGGTTCGCGCCCCAGCCCTTGCAGAACAGGAAGTTGAAGAAGTCGACCAGCGCGACGCCCACCTGTCCGTCGCGCATCAGCGGGCGGCTGCCGGAGAAAGCCGCGAAGCCCGCGACCTCGGTCTGGCGCCGCCCTGGCCATCGCAACGTGGTGTAGCGTCAGGCCCTGGGCATGCGCTGGGCCGGTGGACAGCCTGAGCGGGGCCCACTCCGACTCCCGAGGCTGAGCTTGGGAGGCGGCGTGGCCGAGGGGGTGACGTGGCGACAGGCGGCTATTGGCCGCTGCGGGCCAGGTCTGGGGAGTGTGGCCCTGGGGTCGTCGGGGGGCGGGTTGTCGTCTCCATCGTCGCACCCGTAGCATCGCGGCGTGCGTCGCTCATCTGTTCGACTGCGTGGTTCAGCGCACGACCCACGAGCGCGGCAATGTGGTGATGGTGGCCGCGGCGTTATTGGTCGCCCCTGTCCCGGGCTTCTTCCCAAATTTCGTGCGCGCGGCGTCGCTGGAAGTCGGACGCGTCCCATGGCGGCAGGTCGAGATTGCGGCCCGCGAGGGCGGCCGTTTGGAGAGCACAGAGGGCGGCTTCCCTACAATAGAGGAACCACGGTTGCTTGCCTCTGGCAGGATTCCAGAGGTCCGGGAGCCACCAAGGGGTGACGCGGGCGAGGTGGTCGACCCACCGCGCTCGGGCCTTCTGCGCGCCTTGGGTGGGCGGATCAGTGGCCGCTTGTGGCGCGCGGTGGTTGGGCGAGTCGTACTCACTGGCGTGGCTGCTGTCTCGGTGAGCTTCCCTTGGGGAAGAGAGAGAGAGAGGGAGAGAAAGACAGAGAGAGAGAGAGAAGAACTGAGAGAGAAAGAGAGAGACAGGAAAGGCGGGTGAGGGAGTGCAGAGCGCCCTCCCGTCTTTCTCCTCCGCCTTCCCGACACTTCAACTACTTCGGGCGCCAGACCTGCGCCTCCAGCGCGTCCCGCCGCGGGTTCAGCGACCCCTCGTAGGGGTTCTCGCCCTCTCCATCGTGGAAATAGAGGTCCTTCACGTCCTTGTCGGACACCGCCGGCCTGGAAAAAGGAGCGACGCTGGAGCCGAACCCCACCAGCGCACATGCCGTGGAGTTCACAAGGGGGGGGCGAAGGAGCGGGGTGGAAGATTGGCGAAGTACAGTCGGGGCGTTGACCCAAGGAACCCTAAATAAGGAACGGGGCCCCTTTCTCCCTTAAGTTGAACTTCGATTTCCCATGGAAAACCTCAGGAAAACAGAAGGCAAACTGTAGAACCGTCACGGAACACCGAGCCCCTCCCCAACGAAAAGGGTTCCTTCTTCAAGGCCCCGGCTGTACCGAATCGTCGGGAGGAGGGGATGGGCGGAGGGGGGCAACACATGCCGAGAAGGGGGCAGGCAGGGAGGCGGGCGGGAGGACGGCACGGCGAGGTTGGACGGGGCACGGCGGCAGCGCGGCGCGGCTGCTGCGGGCTATAACGGGGGGGCTGGCCGACGCCTGAGACAACACGCACGCGACACGCAGGCGGCGCGGGAACGCGCCTTCTGAGCCACGCCTTCGAACCATACATCAGAAACACAGACTCGCAGCCACACACACACACACACGCACACGCACACGCACACGCACACGCACACGCGCACGCACACACACACACACACACACACACACACACACACACACACACACGCACACACACACACGCACGCACACGCACACACACACACACACACACACACACACACACACGCACACGCACACACGCACACACACACACGCACACGCACACACGCACACGCACACGCACACACACACGCACACACACACGCACACGCACACGCACACGCACACGCACACGCACGCACGCACGCACGCACGCACACGTGGAAGTCACGCCTTCAACTCACACGCGCGCCCAGCGCCCAACTGAGCGCTGATCCGACGAAGTGGAGCCACGGCGGGGAGAGGGGGAGGGATGATGGGGACTTCACCTCTGGTGATCTCCGGTCACCGTGCTTCTGGACACGGAATGGGCGTATCCTCAGGTCCTTTGCCTACCTAATCCTCTAAGCCTCAGTCCTAAGCCTCAGTCCTCACTCCTGAAGAATCTTCAATGGGCCCGGATCCCAAATTTCGAAATCTCTCGGGGCATCCCGTGTATCCCCTGGGCTCCAGGAAGTGTTGTCGCAAGAACTGTTTGGGCCCAAGAGGGCCCCAAGACGGGCCAAGAGGGCTCCAGGAAGCCCCCAAGACAGTCCAAGAGGACCCCGAGTCGCCGAACGATTGCTCCAAGACGCTCAAGACGGCCCCCAGACGGCCCAAGAGGCTCCAAAACGCCCAAAGAGGCTTCCAAGAGGCCTCCCGAGAGGGCCCTAAAAAGGCTCGAGAGGGCCCAAAGACGGCCCGAGAGGCGCCCAAACCGGCCCACGGTGGCCCCAGGACGGCCCCAAACAGGGGCGGGATGCCACCCCCCTCGAACTCCCTCCCCCGAGGTTCATTTCGGGGCTGAGCCTAAACAGTGTTTTTCGTTTTCGTTTTGTTTTCGTCTTCCGTCATTCTGTCTTCAACCCGCGTTTCCCGCAAAACGAAGTCGAAACGAAAGTAGCCCACGAAATCGCCATAATACCGTCTAGGTCCAACCCTGTTTCGTTTCTTCTGGCCAACGGATCGCACGCTACGCGCGCTTTCCGTCATCCGCCGCCCCCTGCTGATTCATCACAGGGGTGCCCGGCGTGCTGAACTCTTTCGGTTTGGATCTTTTAGAAAACTCGCTGGGGCTTCGGCCCGTCTCGCCGGCCACCCGAAAAACTCTTCCAGAGGTGGTTGCAAAGGTTTTTCCTGCTCCAGACGGCTCCAAGATGGTCTCCAAGATGGCCAAGATGGCCCACGATGGCCTCCAAGTTCGCCGAAGATGGTCCAAGATGGCCTCCAAGACGGTCCAAGAGAGTCCAAAATGCCTCCAAGCTCGCACAAGAAACCTCTAAGACGGACCAAGACGGCCCCAAAGGCCTCCAAGAGGCCTCCAAGATGGCCCAAGAGGCCTCCAAGAGGTCCTCCACTAGGGCCCGAAGAGGTAAAAATTAATGGTGTTCCCTAGGTTTCTGAAGGATTTTGGCTTCTGCTATTTTCCAGCCGTCCGACGGCCCACGACGGCTCAAGAGGGCCGAAAGATCTGCCCCGGAGCGCCCAAGAGGCCCCCAAGATGGCACTATGACGGCCAAAGAGGCCTCCAAGACGGTCCCAAGAGGGCCTCAAGACGGCCCAAGAGTCCTCCAAGACGCGCAAGATGGCCTCCAAGACGGGCAAGATAACCTCCAAGATGCCTCCAAGACGGACAAGATGACTTCCAAGACGGCCAAGATGGCCGCTAAGACGGCCAAGATGGCCCAAGATGGGCCCGAGAGGCTTCCCAGATGGCCCCAGAGGAATCCATCAGGTTTTCTAGGAAGGCCCGAGGGAGCCAAAATCATATATTTGCCTTGGGTGTTCGAAGGATGCTGTTCCTCCGTTTTGATGTTCCGACCGCCCAAGACGGCCCAAGGAGTCCCAAAAATCGTCCCAGCGGCCTCCAAGATGGCTACAGAACGGTCCAAGAGGCCCCCAAGCCAGCCCCAAGAGTGCCCCAAGACGACACAAGAGGCCTCCAAGACGCCCAAAATAGCCTCCACGATGCTTCAAGACGGCCAAGATGTCCTCAAAGACGGCCGAGATGGCCTCCAAGACGGCAGAAATATTCTCAAGAGAGCCGAAGGTGGCCAAAGAGGTGCCCAAGATGCCTCCACGACAGCCCCAGATGCCTCCAAGAGCTCCACCAGAAAAGCCCGAAGAGGCCAACATCATTGATCTTCCTTGGGTGTTTGAAGGATGTTGGCATTTTCTTATTTTCAGCATCCCGAAGGCCCAAGACGGCCCAAGAGGCCCCGAACATCGCCCCAAGAGCGCCTAAGAGGCCTCCAAGATGGCCCCATGACAGACCAAGAGGTCCCCAAGACGGCCCCAACAAGACCCCAAGACGGCCGAAGAGGGCCCCAAGATGGCCCAAGAGTCCTCCAAGACGGGCAAGATAGCCTCCAAGATGGCCTCCAAGATGCCTCCAAGACTGCCAAGAAGGCCTCCAAGACAGCGAAGATGGCCCCAAGATGCACATAAGACGACCCCAGATGGCCTGAAGATGGCCTTAGACTGCCCAAAAGGCCTGCCAGAGGCCTCCAAGACGGCCCAAGACCCCTCCAAGACGTCCTCCAGGAGGCCCGAAAGCTTGCAAACCACCTGGTCCGATAGCTCGCTCGGCTCCGTGTTCCCCGAGGGCTTTCGAAACCCACTCGGGGAACGCGTGGCCCGATAGCCTGGCCAAGCTCAAACCCAACTTTCGGCCACGCATGCGCTTCCAACAAGGCAGGAGGCGGCGGTGATTCGCCGCAGGCGTCTTCGATCCGCCGCCCCCTGTTGATTCATCACAGGGGTGCCCGGCGTGCTGAACCCTTTCGGTGTTGGTTTTTCGTTTTCAAACATGATCGACCCACGAACCCAGAAAGGAATATAGAAATGTAAGGCATGGCAACGTTTCATAGACACCTGATTGGGCGACGCGCCAACGCAATGCTGAATGTTTCGATATTGATGTACCGTGCCGAGGGCTGTGCTGTGCTGCGCCGTGCTGAAGTGCGATGTGCCATGCCGCCACTGTGCTCTATAGCGTTGTGGATCGAGTCCTCCTTTGCATCCGAGTCCTAACCGAAATGATCTGGATCTTAAGCTCGAGCTGCCTTAGCACATAGTAGCTGCCCCAGAGCTAATTGACAAGGGGACATGCCAGGAGGACGCGCCGCGGAACGTCCCAAGGGACGCGCCACAAGGGACGTGCCACAGGGACGCAACGCGGGACGTGCCGAGGAGACGCGCCACGGAACGTGCCAATGGACGTGCCACGGGACGTGCCAGGGGACGCGCCGCGCGACGTGCCAAGGGGACTCGCCACGGGACGCGCCAAGGAACGTGCCAGGCTGCAATGCTGAGTGTATCGATCTTTATGTACCGTGCCGAGCGCTGTGCTGTGCTGTGCCATGCTGAAGTGCGACGTGCCATGCCGCGATTGCGCTCTATAGCGTTGTGGATCGAGTCCTCCTTTGCATCCAAGTCATGACCGAACTGATCTGGATCTTAAGCTCGAGCTGCCTCAGCACATAGTAGCTGCCCCAGAGCTAATTTACAGAGGAACATGCCAGGAGGACGCGCCGCGGAACGTCCCAAAGGACGCGCCAGGCGACGTGCCACGGGACGTGCCACGGGGACGCACCGCGGGACGTGCCGAGGGGACGCGCTAGGGCACGTACCAAGGGACGTGCCACGGGACGTGCCAGGGGACGCGCCGCGCGACGTGCCAAAGGGACTCGCCACGGGACGCGCCACGGAACGTGCCAAGGAACGTGCCAAGTTGCAACGCTGAGAGTATCGATCTTGATGTACCGTGCCGAGGGCTGTGCTGTGCTGCGCCGTGCTGAACTGCGATGTGCCATGTCGCGATTGCGCTCTATACCGTTGTCCATCGAGTCCTCCGTTGCATCCGAGTCCTGACCGAACTGATCTGGATCTTAAGCTCGAGCTGCCCAGCACAAAGTAGCTGCCCCAGAGCTAATTGACAAGGGAACTTGCCAGGAGGACGCGCCGCGGAACGTCCCAAGGGACGCGCCAAGCGAGGTGCCAGAGGACGTGCCACGGGGACGCACCGCGGGACGTGCCGAGGGGACGCGCTACGGCACGTTAAAATACGTGGCCCTTGTTCGGGACAACCATGTTAGATCCCCCACTGGATGGCCTGGACACCTAAAACACACATGGTGCCAGCTCGGGAATCCATGTTAGATACACCCCTGAATCGCCTGGACACGTTAAAACACATGGTCCTTGCTCAGAACAAACATGTTAGATACCCCGTGGGTGGCCTGGATACGTAAAAACACGTGGCTCAAAGTCGGGACAACCATGTCAGATATCCCCCAAGGCGGCCTGGACTTGTAAAAACATATGGCTCCAGCTTGGGACCACCATGTTAGATACCC